GTACGAACCAAATAGAGAATCTGGTGGAGTTTATAAATCATGCAGAATCAGCCAGTTGGCAGCCAAACAAGGAAAAAGGATGACCATGTCATGTCAATAAGAACTTAAAAGGTAAAGTAAAGGTAAAGGTTCCCCTCGCACATATGTGCTAGCCATTCCTGACTCTAGGGGGCAGTACTCATCTCCATTTCAAAGCCGAAGAGCCAGCGCTGTCCGAAGACGTCTCCGTGGTCATGTGGCTGCCATGACTAAATGCCGAAGGCGCACAGAACGCTGTTACCTTCTCACCAAAGTGGTTCCTATTTTTCTACTTGCATTTTTACATGCTTTCGAACTGCTTGGTTGGCCGAAACTGGGACAAGTAACAGGAGCTCACTCCATTGCATGGTGCTAGGGTCGCCGTAGTGCCGACCTTTCTGATCGACAAGATCAACATCTTAGCCACTGAGCCACCGCATCCACTTTTCCTGTTCCTGTTATAGAAGTCTCTAAATAGTAAAGATTTTGTAAGGAAAAAGAAAGGAACAGGAATTGATTGATGTGGTGAAGTACCACATAAGTAACAGTATTGTTATAACCAACTATCACTGGGATGTAGATAACATTGATTTATTATAGTCTAGCTGCCTTCTCCAATCAGATGCCTTGCGGCCATTACACTTCTGAATTTTGTTTAAATTTGCCATCACTGAAAGGCACTGGGTGGAGAACAACCAATTGTTAAGGGTCAACATCAGAACATCTACACCAATTGCATTAGATGGAACCAATCAACAAATGATTTCTATTAATTTAGCCTATATATATCCAAACCTAACAGTTGCCCCAGAGCCTTCTGATATTGTCTGGAGATGGTTCAAGTATTGATAGAGAATATATCCTTTAACCTGACATTTAAAGCAGTGTCCTTCTTTTAAAATAATTGGAGAACAGTATACATTTTTGCACTGGGATTTGTCCAACTATAAGAGAGATTTTTTTTTAATGAAGTCCCTCTAGCATTGATGACCCTAGAGTAAAATACATGAACTTTAATACTGGGATTGTTTACCTTCCGTGTTTATATATCTTATTGCATCCACCTGCCAGGGAAATCTTATGCACATGTCTTGGTCATACAAGTCATTGACTTTGGCTGTTATCAATCATGACACTTTATGCTATTGTTGTTCTAGTCATCTGTTTGCAATAGGATCCTCTCTCGGAAGGGAAAGGTCTGTCTGTGCATGATGGGTTTATATTTTGTTGCCTCCCAGTAGTGCAAGTGCCCAACTGGACTATGGAGAAAGGACTGAACCCAAATCACCATGCATTAAATAATTGGAATCATCATGCTTAGAATGACCAGATTTCGTGTGAAATTCCATGAAGAGCCCAAGGCTTCCTTTTTTTTAATACACAATCTGTATAATTGAGCAGTTGCTATTCATTTGTTAGAAATTGCAGTTGTGGGTGCAGCAACAATAAGGACCAAAGATTTATTGCACAGGATTTCTCTTCCAATTTGCCTAATTATCTAACACGAACTACTGCTATTTTAATGCCTGGAACAGGGAGCACCCTGCTTTCCCACCATGCAGCTTGGTAGAGATAACATATGATCATGCCATAGGTCTAACTTTAATTGGCAAACTGTTCATAAATTCCCAATAACTAGGAATATATTTAATTTGAAATGTAATCATTTGTTTCAAACAATGCATGCTCACTGAGCTCTGAATAATAAGCAACAAGAGAGCTGTCAGGTTTTTCAGAGCTGAAACGAACAATCGTTTCCTAGCTTGTAGCTAATATTTTAATGCTTGGAATTTTATAATTTTAAGTTTACATTTGCCACCTTGGGAACTTCTTTGATTTGTTTTGTCTCACTTGGCATAATTTGCTTTCCAGCAGACTGTGATTTTTACATCATAGTGACTTGACCCATATAATAGCATGAGCAAATTCAAGCTTTGTTGAATTTTTTTTCCCTTATGCTTTTGGGCAATGTCTATCTCTGAGAATATTCCTTTGTAAAACTCCACGTTGGAGTTATAACCAGATGACATATTTCGATTCAGCTACATTTGGCTTCTAAAATTCTGCCAGAGGTATTGAATTAGTCACATGCCTGAGCCTATACCTGAAAGCTGGACTTCATAATATAAAGAGATTTTTGAGGTAAAAGAGAATTGAAGTATGTTGCAATTCAGGATATTTTTTGACATTGTTTAATTTCTGCCTACACACACAAACACAGGTTCCCTTTTCACTGTAGGATTGGTGTTGGAAATTGTATCCACCATATAATTCTTTCTGTGACAATGCAGGGAGCAGCAGAAACCCTACACTGACCTCATCCAGCCATCTGTACCCCTGGAGACAATCTGGCTTTTTTTTCTTGGTACAAAGCCATACCAAAATGTGTGGCATGGAAACTTAGCTTGCGTTTGTTTGCTTCCTGACAGGGTAAGCCTGTTTTTAGAGCATTGATGCCCTCTTAAAGAGGAATAGGCTCCCTTACCTCTGCAATACTGTGGATTGACACATTATAGGACAGTGATGGTGATCCTTTTTTGTCCTGGGTGCCAAAAGCGCATGTGCTCGTGTGCCCACCCCCATAATTTAATGCCCCCCTGCGCTTTCCCCCTGTGCATGTGCACATGACCGCCCCCCCCCCCGCTGCCCCACTCATGCACGTATGGCTTTCTTGGAGCCTGAGGAGGGCAAAAACGGCCTCTCCCAGAGGCCCTCCGGAGGCTGGAAACGGCCTATTTTCTTACTTCCGGTGGGCCCGGTAGGTCCATTTTTTGCCCTCCCCAGGCTCCAGAGGCTTTCTAGGTGCCTGGGGAGGGCAAAAAACAGCCCAACACACAAACCGTAAGTTCATTCCCAAACTTCAAGTTTGCGCATTGAGTGGTTTTTCGGCTTCCGGAGGGTGAAAAACCACCCAACATGCAAACTGGAAGTTCGGGAATTGTTTTTTGGCCTTGATTTTTAGCCATTTTTCAACCTCCAGGGGCAGCCAAAAATCAAGGCCAAAAATCAGCTGGGCAGCACGTGCATGCACAATGGAGCTGACAGGACAATGCATTGCATGCCCTCAGAAATGGCTCCACATGCCACCGATGTCATGTGTGCTGTAGGTTCGCCATCACGTTTCTAGGTCTTTCCAGGAAGCAAATATGTCAAGGTTCCAAGTTACAGACCCAATGCAAACATAACTCCGAGGCCAAGGTGCTCCTCAAAGTCCCATCTCCAATTGGTTTCATTCCACACCTTCTCAGCACATGGTGGAAATGTCCTTGATTTCCAGGAGAAAAAAAATTGTTTTGGCTAGAAGTCCCCAGCTATCTTCTCTATTCCCCTCTCCCATTCCCACAGCTCCAACCTGCCTTGCTATGGCAGCAGTTCTGAAGACACTCCAAAATGGCTTCAGGGTTGACAATGACGGGAGCGGCTTCATTTTATCTGATGGGGAAATTGTTACAGTCATAGCTGGCCACCTGCCATTGCCACACAATTCTGTCATTTTGTCTGTAGCTGAGATCTGTAAGAAGTTGAGCCTGTGCATTTTACATATATTTTCTTCCTTCCCTGTATGGAGTTGAAAGGGATACGCATTATTTGTTTCCATTCCACAACATTCTGTTCTCATAACAACACTGCAGGTAATCCTCGACTTACAACCACAATTGAGTACAAAATTTCTGTGGTTAAGTGAGACATTTGTTAACTGAATTTTCCCCCATTTTATGATCTTTCTTGCCACAATTGTTGAGTAAATCAGTGCAGTTAAGTTAGTGACGTGGTTGTTAGGTGAATCTGGCTTCCCCGTTGACTTTGCTTGTGAAAAGGTCACAAAAGGTGATTGCATGATCTCTGGACAGTGCAACCATCATAAATATGAGTCAGTTGTGAAGCGTCTGAATTTTGATTATGTGACCAAAAGGTATTGAGGATGCTTCAATGATTGTAAGTGTGAAAAAGTATCATGAATCAGTTTTTTCAGTGCCATTGTAAATTTTGAACCATCACTAAATGAACTGTTGTAAGTCGAGGACTACCTGTGTAAAGGATTGAAAGGTAGCTTTGTTTGTTTTAGTTCATGGTTTACAACCAAGATGTCCCTGTCAGAGATGATCTTCAGCTTGAAGACCAGCAAAATATAGTCAGAACCAGGGACAGAAGAACAAAAATAAGAGTTGTGGTGGTGCAGTGGTTAGAGTGCAATATTGCAGGCTAAGTCGCTGCTCACTCCAGGAGTTCGATTCTCACCAGCTCAAGGTTGACTCAGCCTTCCACCCTTCCAAGGTGGATAAAATGAGGACCCAGATTGTTGGGGGCAATAGGCTGACTCTGTAAATCACTTAGAGTGGGATGTAAAGCACTGTGAAGTGGTATATATCATAATCCTATTGCTGTTGCTAATTAAAGAACGATATGAACTCTTTACTGGTCTGCTGTCTGGTTTTCAGATCCTGGTTTTCAATGTAGAATAACTGATTTCCCAATGATGTTCTCTCTCTCTTTCTCTTTAAGAGTAAAAAGGATCGCATGAAGGCTTGGATAAGGGCACGCCTCCCTTCCTGGTGCAAGGAGAGAGATTCCTGGTCTATCTACATCTTTCCTCCTCAATCTAAGTAAGGCAACCCATATTTGATTGCTGGAAGTATTTTAGAACATGAAGGGTTTAATGTTTTCTGAGGGTAGCAATCACAATATTCTGCAGAATTCTCAGAGGCCAAAATGTTGAAAGAGGCCTTCTTATCTAAAAGATTGGCACCAGAATTCACAGGTGCTGGCTGCATCTAATATTTCTGAGAGGGCAGTTAATATATGTTGTAATCTGCAAATCATAACTGAGAAGGGTTTAGGGGGAAAACTATAACCCAGTGATAAGGCATGTGATTGACATGCCAAAAGTCCTAGGATCTAGGATATTTCCAATTTAAGGAAGTATCTAGTATGAAGGAATGAGCCTGAATATCTGCTGCCAATTTAGAGAAGCACAAAGTTTCCAGACAATTATGTCATACTATAAAATAGTGCATCACAGTAGTAGCAACAATAACTATTAAATTATTTCTAGCTTTGCTCAGCTGCTTATCTGTTTTCACCTCAACTTCCATCCATGACCCCCAAAATCCTTGCTTAGTATGCCAACACTACCTTCATCTTATAAAGCCTTCCCACCAACAATAGCAATATATTATATGAAGGTGATGTAGTATTGCTACACAAAGTCAAGCTTTTCTGTTACACTTTGGAAGGAAACAGAAACTTTCTGGATCCTGGGGGACTTGTCTACTGCTAAAACTTTTCAATTTCAAATAGTAGATACCATTCTTCTAGAACCAGTTATTTGCTCCAGATAATATTGGGGAAAGGAATGGAGCACAGAATCAATCCCAAGCATCTCTAGCTACTGCTGGAAATTACTATCTGAAACCACACAGAGCAGCAGGCAGTCAGCACAAAGTATGCATAATCAAACATAGAGACTTGACTCAAATTTCAATGAGAAAACTCTGCACATCCTAGAGTCTAGACCAAGCTAAATTCAAAACTACTATGGAATTCCTGGAACCTTGGCATTCTGACACCTTAGCCATAGTGCTCAGCAAAAACCTAAAAAAGAAACAAAAAAGGCCATCTCCTTCAGCAGCCAATATTCAGATAAGCAGGAATTAACAACAGACAAACAAGCAAAGAATCCCAATCAAGGAACTACCGAGAAGAAAACCACACTCCCATCAAACTGTTGTACTGTATTGCAAGATACTTGTATATAAACAGGGAGCAAGCCCCACTCTTAGTGGCACTGATGATGTTTCCTAGTCAGATAATGAAATGTCTGCAAGCAAACAACCAAGCTAAGAAAGCACCAAATATTCCATAGTTCAGTCCTGAGCTACATATGTTCTGTTATAACCAAATTTAATATAAGACCGTTTTTTAAACTTTTCCTGGGGAACAAATACTTTGTTGAAAATTTCTGCTAGAATCTCACTTTACATTAAATGCACACACTTTCACTCACTCTCTGTCTCTGTCACACATATATATAGCCATAAAAATTAGCACCGAATGGATCCCCAAAATAGCTTCATCGTAAGCTAATGTCAGAATAAATTGGGCATAATATTTTGAACAGAGTAGCTTCAGCAATTTTGTGTCCCTGGATCACTGTAAAGTATTTTTATGTCCTTTGAACTGTATGAGTATGGGAGGGGGACCTTTTCCTGCATCACATGAGGCTTCCATAAATGTGCCTCAAAGTAATTACAAATTTAACAAATGTTTGAAATGCTAATTTGCCTTATTGCTTCATAAAATGTCATACTTAAAAGAAATGTAAAGTCCAGCTAAATGAATAATCCATCATTCCCTCTCCAAGGTTAAAGCAGGTGGATGCAAATTAGAATAAACTACTATATACTGAGAGAGAGAGAGAGAGAGAGAGAGAGAAGAGGGTTATTTTTTAGTTATAATTTCCTTCCCTCAAGTTGCTGTTTGCTTTGACTGAGAAATTGTTTCTATGACCTTTACCCCTTTTCTGGTTCTTTTGGCCCAGCTTATGCCAAGCTGGTGTCTTCCAGATGTATTGGGAGTACAGCTCTCAGAATTCCAAGTTAGTATGAGTGTCAGCACATCTGGAAAACACCAGCTTGAGCAGGGCTGGTTTAACTTTAGAGGCTACTAGGAAAAAAGGAACTTACATCAAAGCTTTAATTTGGCCTTTTCCAACCTATTTCCTTCCCAATATGTTGGGACTCTATTCTCAGAATTCTCATCAAATATTGCTAACAATTTCAAGAGTGGTTTATTCTCAGAACAAGGAAGAATGCTTTTCCTCTAAGGTTCAACTGCCTTCCCTATAGCTTTTTATATAAGTGTGATTAATCTTCCATAATTCTGAGGGTTAAAGGAAAGACTGGGCAAGATCTTTTTGGGGAACCTTTATATGCAGTTTTGAGTTTCCCATCTTCTAGTTCCCTCTTATTTCCCATCCCAACCAGTCTTTTCTACTCCCAGTATATTCTTTACAGAAAGTCTTTGATTTACCACAATTGAGGCCAACACTGTCATTGCTAAGCAAAACAGTTGTTAAGTGACTTGTGCCCCATTTTACCATCATTTTTGCCACAGTTATTAAGTGAATCACTGAAAATTAATCACTGTTAAACAAATCATGTGATTGTTAAACGAATGTGTCTTCCCTCATTGACTTTGCTTGTTGAAGGACAACGGGGAAGATTACAGATGGCGATCACAGGACATTGCAGCCATCATAAATGCATGCCAGTTGCCAAGTATCTGAATTCTAATCACGTGACTTTTGGATACTGCTATAGTTGTAAGTGTGAAACCAGTCATAAGGCACTTTTTTCAGTGCCATTATAATGTCAAACTGTCCCTAAATGAATGGTTGTAAGTCAAGGACTACCTGTATTGTTTCTTCTCCCTTTCCCACTTTTGACCAAAGTATTTTTTTCTTCCTTCCTTATTTCCTTCTTTGATTATCTACAAAGAAAAACAAAACTATGGTTATGGCCAACACCTTTTCATAATTTTTTGAAGGTCAGGATAGTGATAAACCTGGGGAATACTTGAGACTGAGGAACTCAGAATCTTTGCCAGTGGTTGAATCTAATGACACTCTTCCTACCCATACCTTTCATTGCCAGGTGGCAAGCATGAACCACTGGTTGTGAAGAACCAGAGCGAGCACCAACTTGTAATATCTCTTTTATAAAAAGAACCATGTTGCCATCGGGGGCAGGTAAATAGTCCCAACAGATCCAAGGGAGAACCGCAGAAGAAACTAATTATCCACCCCCAGTGGAGTCCAACTACAAGGAAGCTAGGCTAGAAAGATGAATCATGCAGGAAATACTGGGCACCCTGCTCTCCATATGCCTATTTTAGTTCACAAAAGTCATTCATTCATTCATTTATCCATTCATTCATTCCGCATGACATGTGAGCAGTATCTCACAATTTGGGAAAGACAGGTACTGTATGTCAAGACAAATTTTGATGATGGTTTTCTTTAGATGATTTGCATGCAGGAGGTAGAGGACAAGGACAAGGACAGATGAGAATTGTCCCTGTCAAGAAAGGCCTGTTTCCAAAAATTAATTGCAATTGTGAAGCTTTTTTACAACAGGAAAGAAAAGGTAGTCCAGTATCCATAGAAAAGGAAGAGGATTGTTTCTCTGCTTTGCACAGATTTCCAGTGACTTCTCTTCCTCTTTCCCTTTAGATTCCGTGTCATATGCAATAAAATCATTTCCCACAAGATGTTTGATCACATTGTCTTGGTTATCATTTTCCTGAACTGTATCACCATTGCAATGGAGCGTCCCAAAATTGAGCCCCACAGTGCTGTGAGTAAACTGTATCACTTTCCAAGTAACGTAGACACTTTATTGTGCTGAGTTTATGTGGGGCTTTTACCAATATTTGTTCTTTCTGTTGGTTTCTTTTATCAGCAGAAGGTGGAACTCAGAGGGCATGAGAGGGAATAAATAGAGTGAAATTAAATTACCCTGATGTGTACTAAGAGATAGTCCAGACAAAAGATTAGAGCAGATGTGTGTGGCAGCTGTCTCAGCATACCTTTTCTGTTTGATTATTGTCAAGGCTTGATCGTCCTGCCTCCCCAATCCCACTGAACTGAACATTTCTTATAGATCTTAGAAACATGTGATGTCTAGGCCTGCGCTTTTAAAATGATATATAATAAGAAGGATTAGTGAAAAGCCACTTAAAGGTGTAGTTTGGTTAAGGTAAAAGGTAAAGGTTCCCCTCGCACTTATGTGCTAGTCGTTCCCGACTCTAGGGGGTGGTGCTCATCTCTGTTTCAAAGCTGAAGAGCCAGCGCTGTCCGAAGACATCTCCGTGGTCATGTGGCCAGCATGCCACTATGCTGAAGGTGCACAGAACGCTGTTACCTTCCCACCAAAGGTGGTTCCTATTTTTCTACTTGCATTTTTTACATGCTTTCAAACTGCTAGGTTGGCAGAAAATGGTACAAGCAATGGGAGTTCACTCCGTTACGCAGCACTAGGGATTCGAACCACTGAACAGCTGACCTTTCTGATTGACAAGCTCAGCATCTTAGCCACTGAGCTGCTTCTCAAACTTTTTTTTTCCATTACCAAAAAAAGCTTACCAGAAGCTTACCAGAGGTCCGTTTTACTTAGAAAGTCCTTTTGTAAGTCTTCAACTTATGACAATAATTGAGTTTAAAATTTCCATTGCTAAGCAAGACAGTTCAGTCAGTTTTGCCCCATTTTACAACTTTTCTTGCCACTGTTGTTAAGTGAACCACTGTAGTTACCAGTAATTTAGTAACATGGTTGGTGAAATGAATCTGGCTTCCTCGTTGACTTTGCTTGTCAGAAGGTTACTATTAAGTACGAGGCGTGAGGTAAAGTGTAACAGGTTTATTCAACAGTTAACAGTACAACAGAAACTTCAGAATGCAGATAGCGCTTGCCCGCCTGATAGCTCTTTATATATGAGAGCTGTTAGGCGGATGGCCAATAGGAGGCCAGTGATTTTCCTGCCAGCCAGCAGGCGCGCCAGGGCCAATCAGGAGCCTGCGGCTCCAACCCCGCCTGTCGGCTGCATTGAGAGGACGCAACAGTTACAAAAAGTGATGATCACATGATCCCAGGACATTTTGCAACCATCATAAATACATGCCAGTTGCAATGATCACTGACCACAGGGATGCTGCAATGGTTGTGAGTGTGAAATATGGTCATAAGTCACTTTTTTCAGTGCAGATGTACCTTTGAACGGCACTAAACAAATGGCAAGGACTACCTGTATTTCAATGTTCTTGTTGTGTTTGAGTAATGGGTTTGTGTGTGGTTATCCAAAGAAAAGCTACTTTTATCCAGTTTGGGGTAATTTACTCTTAACTGTTCCGGACTCTTTGGACTTATCCGAACCTGTAGAAGAGGGGGACACGAACTACGCCCCTGTATACCTTCTTTGGACTATAACTGGACGCTAATTACTGTAATTATTTTAACCATCCTGATCATTGAGAGCCATTTGGCTCTGCCTGGACTCGCACCCTAACAACTGCGCAAGTTATCTTTTTTTTCTTCCTTTTTCTACTCCTTTTTCCTACTTTGTATGGGATATGCTAGGGGTATGTAGTTTTGTAGTTTTATTAGAATTTGTAGGCCGCCCTTTTCCCTGAGGGGACTCAGGGCGGCTTACATAAAATAAGGA